AAGGCCACAAAAACAAGCAACAAACAAGCTAGGAAGAAAGTCCACATTACACAAAGCCACTAGTCAAAAGACATTGTCCCAAATAGAAAGTGCAGTATCACCAAGAGCGGTTTGGTTGTTCATAGCTTCAGCAAGCACAACATTACTCAGGCTGCAAGAGCAAGATTTGCAGCCCAAGTCTTTGATCATCTTAAGCCCTAGCTCACTGCAATAAGAAGGGATTCTTCTTGAAAATGTGCACCTCTCGAGTCTCTTACCACTGAACACTAGAATCCCCTTCCAATACTGCTGAGTAGGTCATAGTAATAGCACCATCTTCAGAAAACAGAGCACTGATAACCACACTTCTTTTACTTATTCCCTTGGAAAAGTTATCTGAAGTGGAATCAATTAAGGACTTCAACCCACCTTTCTCCAGACCCTTGATGTCTATTAAAGAACACTCAAGCCATTCTGCCCTTGAGTTCTCAACAATTTCTCTTTCATGTATCCAATCCGCATTGAATACCCTCTTGTTCCCAACTTTCCATAGACCTCAAAGTAGAAAGGCTGAGAGGCACATTCTATCCTCCAATTGAGTTGCTCTCCCAGTTGAACCAATTTCATCCACCAATTCTGAGAACACATTTTCTACCCTTGTTGCATCTCCCACTCCACACCACATAGCTTCCAACAGATTTTAGCTCTGCCACAGAAAAATAATACTCCCTCCTATTCTTTTTATTTGTCGTTTTACTGGCTATTAATCAAATAAATGACGTTTTGGAGCTTTTATAGATATTTTTCCATTGTTACCATCATTTAACTAATACACTACACGTTTTGGAAAGAAGGTTGTAGAATACGATGAGTTTTCTCTCTTAAAAGAACATAAAAATAGCTAAAAAGAAAGAAATTAATTGATGTTAATTTGCTTTAAATACGACTTATATTGACAAGTAAAAATTTCTTAATTTATGTGTGAAAGCACAAAATGACATTTAAAAAAAATATGAGGGAGTATAGATTTAGATCCTGTTCCTCTTCCCCCACAAACCTGACAGGTCCCTTCAAGGTTGATTTCCTTCTTTTGGAGCTTATTTTTTGCACTAACAAATTCAAACTAGCACCTCCATAAGAAGTGTTTCACCTTGGGTTTTATTGGTAGCTGCCAATTCTTTTTCCACATCTTCTTCCAGATCACACAGTCTTTACTTGACGACGCCCTTTCTTTCTCCTTTGACTGGAAAGCCATAATAGTCCTGTAGACCTCTTTTACAGAGAAAGTTCCTTTCTTGTGCCAATGCCAAATTAATTTGTCCTTACCACTGTGATGTGATAAAAGGGATTTGAAGAATTGAAGCAACATCCACAGGATCAAAAGTATGAAGAATAAGCTCGGCTTCCCACTCTGTACTCTCTCTCTTCAACAACTCACTAACTCTGACCAGCCTACCCCTACCCCCACTAAACTGACACTTAGGCTTGAAAGAGGATAATTAAGAATCCATGGAGAATCCCAAATATTAATTGAATTCCCATCCCCTACCTAAAACCTAACACCTAGACCTAAAGACTTTCTAGCACTCAACCAACTTCTCCAAAGCTAAGAGTCACTACTCTTGGGTGTGACATCCATTAGCTTGACACCCTAGAAATATCTACCCTCCAAAACTCTACTTACCAAGAGATTAAGAAAAGTGATGAGCCTCCAAAGTTGTTTAACAAAAGAGATTTATGATAAGCTCTGAGATCCCTAAATCCTAATCCACCAGAGTCCTTAGACCTAGACAGTATGCCTCACTCATCCCAGTGAATCTTATTCCCTCCACTATAATTTTTCCCCACCAGAAATTAGCAATTTCTTTGCTTATTTGATTGACAATGGAAATAGGCACCCTAAATCATGACATAACATAAGTGCGTAGCCAGTAACATAGATTTTATCAGAGTTTCCCTACCAGCCTCACTGAGAAACTTGTTTTTTCCAGTTTTTAAGCTTATTTTGCACAAACTCTTTAACAAACAGAAAAATGTCCCTTTTGGTTCTTCCCATACCTAAAGGGAGCCCCAGATACTTTGAGGATTTGACTCTAGAGATTCCATTCAGAATATTACAAATAATCAATTGATTCCTATCGGAAGTATTCTTAGAAAAAAGAGTTGAGGATTTGTCAAAGTTTACTAAATGCCCTATGTCATTACCATATCTGGTAAGCATATCAACAATCAGATGAGCATGATGAAAATCAGTTTTGTAGAAGAAAATTGAATCATCTGCAAAAAAACAGGTAGGAAATTACTAGAG